GTGAGTCACACCTAGGCTCTACCAGGCTTCTGTAGCCTCCATAGCATGCCAAAAACTGGGGGTTTTGGGGGTCGTCAGGGTCTTTGGGAGCTTTTATGTGCTATTTTCTGATTGCAAATAGACAACGTAGCTGGCCTGGTTGAGTTACCCCCGTTTTTAGAACTGGGCTAATCAGAAAACAGCCGAAGACCACCAAATCCCCAGTTCTATAAGCCTGCTACGGAGGCTATGTCTTTTGGAGGCAGCTGGAAAAAGTAGAAATCGGTCAAATAGAGAGATATGCCTGGGGAGTTGGTCCGCTAGAGAGTACAGTTTGCCGCACTCGATTGGTGGACTTCAAAGATATGGCGACCCCGCACAGGCTTCGGGTGCGGCAAACTGTACTCTCTAGCGGACCAACTCCCCTGGCATCTTATCTCTCTATTTGGCCAATTTCTACTCTTTCCAGTCACCCCCACGAAGCTAGCCTCCATAGCATGTCAAAAAACTTGGGGTTTTGGGGGTCTACAGGGTCTTTTGGAGCTTTTATGTGCTATTTTCTGATTGCATATAGACAACATATATAGCTGTTTAGAAATGGGCTAATCAGAAAACAGCCAAAGACTACCCCAAAGCCTGTATCTGTATCTGTATAGCCGGTATAACTGCCCTTCAGCGTAACACACCAGCTTCTGTATCTGTATAGCCGGTATAACCGCCCTTCGGCGTAACACACCAGCTTCTTTATCTGTAAAGCCGGTATAACCGCCCTTCGGCGTAACACACCAGCTTTAAGAAGCCTGGTAGAGACTAAGTCACCCTGGCGAAACGTTTGAGTGACACGAGCGTCCGACGTATAGGCACCAGGTGCTCTCGCGAACCCGAGGCCCCGCTTAACTAGGTTTTCCACACAATTTTCTCGCGCCCATAAAAGCCACGCACTCCGAGAGCTCGGGATCAGTGCTGATGATATTTTATGTCATTGAAAACACGGTCGGAAGAGAAGGTTTGGGTCTCGTGGGAGATACGTAATATCTGTTGTCACCATGCTGTGAAATTGCATAATGCATAAGGGACTAGTGAAGGTCTCTAACCTCATTCTCTTTGTCATTGAAGCTAGGCAATTGGCTCTGCCATGGAAGGAGGTCATGTTTTGTCAATGTTTGTTGGTTTGTATGAACTCAAAATGTTACAAATTTGTATTATCGATTTGTACTGTGTTTTTATTTGACGGTAACGATGATGTATATAATATCACCAGGGTCCATGATATCGCCACCTTGAGAAATAGTGTGCTTTAAGATATTTTTACTGCAACATATCCTAGGTATGTACATTTGATGTGTGAAGGAGTGTATACCAAAAGTATGTTGCAGTAAAAATATCTTTAAGCACACTGTTTCTCAAGGTGGCGATATTATGGACCCTGGTGATATTATGGACACAGATGTTAGATGTTGTGGAAAGATTTGCATTGATACATGATTATTTTAACTCGTGAGAAATATGTCTTCACTGTTTCAAGACAAAAGAATGATGGCTTGGTAAAGATTGTATAATACTGTATGTCATGATCACATCATAAAGTAATATCAACATATTTTATATGGCATAAATGAACAGACTAAAGGATACAAACAAACACAAAAGTAATGTAGCAATGTACTAGCCTCCAATAGGCATTCCTAAGGGATTATGGATTGTGTAATTCTGCAAATATACGGTCAAAAATTCTTATTTTGCTAAATTTGACTATTTTAGCCCGTTTTGTACTGTGTCAACTTGCTACACAACAAGCATTTGCCACTCAGAGAAACTTGCAACATAACTGACTTTGCAACATGAGTGTAACTTGTTACTTACTGCATTGACACACCATTAGTCCCATCACACTTCGTACATCACTTTTCATTAGCTACAAATGCTTCATCAAGAAGAAATTTCAAGTGTGGCAAGCAAATAATAATCCAATTTGTGACAATTTGTGGCAATGTCCCTGGATACATTATGTTGTGACAGAAGTATTTCCTCCTGTTAACATGATTTTGCTACTTTGTCCCTACTTTGATTTGGAATCCTCTTTCCCACATTTTGTCCTTGGTAAATTCTTGTCTAGAACTTCTTTGAAAAACTATTTTCACAAAGCAAATCAAGGAAAAATAAAAAAAGGCTGTCAGAAAATGTTGCACTTTGTTGCAAAAGCTGTTTGGAGATACATGTAGCAGTTTAGGTGACCTCGCATTTATTTATACTTGCCACATTTTCTGCCACTATTCCTGGGTGACAATGGACAGCTTTTCCTGTGGGAAAATTGATCTCCAAGCAGATATTTTGACAAACTATCGCAACATTTTCTCTGACTACCTGGCTGGGTCTTTTATTTCTGACTCGTAAGTTACATATGAACGATTTTATGTCAGAAAAAAGTTCCTTTTTTTTTCTATCCCTTCATCTCTTTGGATATTAAGGCTGAATCCGTACACCCCAACGATCTGTAGCCAAGCCGCCCTCATTACTTTGCAACACTGAAGTAGTAGAATCCATCAGTGTGTGGCAATATGCTTTCGGGCCCAATCCCTGTGGAGCTTGCGAATAAATCCACGTCACTCGCCTGACATTGACAATAAAGATGTTTGTGTGGACAATATGGGGAGGCAATGACAAATGTTTTGAGAGTCGAGCGTCATTTTTCTGTTGAACCAAGGTTAACTGTTGACACTTCCGGCTTCACTCAAGCACATGGCACCAAGAGTTATTAAAGAGTTGTCCAAAATGCTGCCTTACTTCCCCACCATTCCTTACCAAAAAAAAGCAATTTTACTACTAAAATCAAAGAACCCACATATTATAGAAGAAGTGCGTAAATTCGTCTTCCATTGCCTAAAAAGAAGAAGTCAAACCCAGTAAAACTAGTGTCATGTCATGTTGTAGCATATAGTATAATGTTAGAAGTAGATATAGTCTCACATATCACTGTATTTTCTTTCTATGTTGTTTGTAACTGCAATTAGCCCCCGGGCAAGTATTTGCAATAAACTTTCATTAAAATACCTAGAAAGACTTTTTGACTCTGAACTGAACCACGCGAAAACAAGCACCAAGAGACCAGGTCTAGCGATATATTAGACGTTAAACAAGGACGACAACAACAACAGCAAAGTTAGAAATGGGACATTATTTCTAACCTCCTTGGTCTACTAGAGCGAGCCCACAGTTTCAAGATTATCGTTCGAGATTCAAAAGCGTTATTTGCAACAAATGTTGACAAGAAATCAGACTGAATGTGTAGCGAGTGTAGCAAGTCATTTTATATATGATTTGGTGTCTTAAATATAATACACTGTCTGACTTCCTGGCGTTGAATGTTTGGAAATTATGGCAAAACTTTCTTGGACTTAGAAGGAAAGCTAACTCCAAGATTGAACAAAAAGGATAAGAAAGTAAGATGAAAGAAAGTTTCCCAAAACTTTACTCGAAGAACAGAAAATGTAGCGTTCCAAAAAGACGCCCCCCCCCCCCAAAAAAAGTGTTCTTTGCTTTTTGCAAGGGGCTTCGAATAGAGGCTTCTTGCTTTCTACAAAAGAGGCGGCGAAAAGGCATGTGGCTCGCGCAGTTATTTTCGTAACATTTGCACCTCAAAAAGGTCAAACAATACGGCAAAATAAACATTTACCTGTGCCTAGTCTCTGGCGCCCCCCGGGTAGCCTTGGGCTGGCCCTAATCGTTTTTTAATTTGTTGAGCCAGCGTGACCAATCAGGAGTGACATTAGGCCCGACTGGCCAATCACAGCGCGGGAAGCACTTGTAATTAGACCTGTCATCGAGACGTCACTAGGCCACGCCCCCTGCATAGTTTTAGTCCAATCAGGTGGAACGAGAGAAAACAATCGTTAGGGACGGTGCAATATGTATGGTGTTACCCGCGGGGAGCCATGAAAACAAACATACGGAAGTCATTTTGTACCCTGCGATTTTGCGTTTTCCTGTAGTTGTGTGTTACACCGAAGGGCGGTTATAACGGCTGTACAGATACAGAAGAAGAAGTAGACATAGATACAGAATTTTCGCTCATTATATGCTCTTTTCTTCTTGTTACCGCGTTTTCAAATGATCAGCAAATGTCAAAAATCAGAAGAAAGAAATAAAGAAAAAAGCAAGTATGGACTGCTTCTATGCTTTTTATTTTATTTGGAAAAAAACAACAAGCCTTGTCTGCAACTTTGCTATCAAAACAGCAACATTCTGGCCCTGTGGCTTCGTTTATCTATTTGTTTGTTTGTTTGTTTGTTGGTGTAACACAAGTCGCCATTTTTTGTTAGTAGAAATGCACTCCTAGTTGCATAAAAGTTAAAAAGTTGAATTTTAAAATGCGGGATTATATATGTCTGCTTTTGGAAGCATTTTCGCTTGCCAAAGAAAGGGTGCACCTGTGTCTCTGAATACAACAATGGGCTGTGTCGAATTAATTTTACACTTTTGATCCATGGATCTGTCAAGAGCGCTAAAGAGCAAGTGTTTTGACCCAAAGCGATGTTTTTGCGATCATATAAGAATATTTTAAAGAAATGCTCTAGACAACAAATCAGATTGGACCAATCAGTTGCTAAATTGATCAACAATAGTCTTAAGTATTCAGCCATTTTATGTTTGTTGTCGGAAGATTTTCAGCTGATGCCTTGTGTTTGCTTTCTTTGTATCCCATCTATCTATTTGATAAGGGACCATACTATATACCTAACTATATCGATATTTTTTAATCCATATTTTGCATTAATAGATCCTACCAAGGCCACAATAATATATAGAAATCAGATTTTTTGGAAGAGAATCTAGAGGCTAGACTGCTAAGGAAAAGGCAAGAAAACTTGAAGTACCCTCATTTGCATCACAAGCGAGCCGCCCCCTAACTTCAAGTGCCACATGGAGCACAGACATTCCAAAAAGAAAACAGCGGTTTCGCGACGCCCCGGCCCCGCACAATGTTATCAGGCGGAAGCCGGCGTAATTAATTGTGGGCGCCCTGAAACCGGCCGCGCGATCCGACAAAGCCCAGGACCACTGCTCGAAGTGGAGGTTTTTCGGGCATGTAAACACACGGCATTCCAGTAAGTGAGCGCACGGCGCCGAGCGCAAGCGATGTCCGCGACGCATCCCTGAGTGTAGCGATGCAATCTGGCGACACTAGACAGTCTGGGAACTGCCACAACCTTCAGGATTGCCACACGGATTGCTACAGTGCGGGAACCAGGCGTTAGCTGAGTAGCAAGCTCGCCACCGAAGAGTGTGGCTTGGGTCGGTCGGTGTTTCTGTTCGTACTACCTTCGGCGTGCCGGATATTCAAACTTTGCATGGGGTTTTCAACATCAGTCAAGCGGGGTAGCAAGATGTTGCGGTCGGGAGTAGAAGCCGGACTCTTCGTCACTCTGCTGGCTACGTTGTCGATCGTGACTACGGCAGCTCAAGGTACGTGTTTGTTACTGTGTAGCCAATTTGTGGCGAGGTATATAAAAGCCAACTGTAGCGAGCGGCAGGCCGTGTAGCAACACGGTGTGACAAATTGTGTGGCGGCCCGTCCCACCACGGGACCCCGTACCCACACGTGTTGTGTGTACCGTGCCTTATCCTACAAAACACGTCGGTTTCATCAACGTTACACTACTCCTTACCACACCGCCTTCTATACAGAAATGACTACAGGTACAACCTTTCTTAACATCCTTATGTATTTACTGTGTATTTTACTTGAAGAGGTAAGGTTGGTGTCACAACACAACGATTCCGTGGCCTAGTTTCGGCGTCCTGAAACAGATTAAAAACGCGATGGGTACGGGAAGGTGATTTGGAGAGCGGCGGTGGGCTCAAAAAAATCGAAGTGCAGAGAAAATGAACCCGTGGAAAATTGGGGCCTGCCCCGAGCTTCTGTGAATAATGAGGCTATCAGCGTTCGGAGATGCTCTCCATGCGACCGGAAAGGCACAGAAAACAGGACCCTACACCACCAAATCGAGCGTTCAGTCTCCGACTATCGTCGGTCTAAAAGTTGAAATTCTAGCCGGTCGGAAAAGCCGGTGTTGCCTTACACAAAACGTTTTAGTCGGGGCACTCTCAGGTCGCAAGAAGCGCCCTTCTTTTTGGCTCGGTATATTCCGCCTAAACCTCTGGATTTACTGTGTTCAAGGCAAAATAGTTAAACATTCATTATGTGAACATACAGGCCAAACAAATCCGTGACCGAATAGTTTGCTAGTCGCTTTATAGAGTTAACGTTTTAGATGAGTTAATAGCTTTGTGGTAAAAGGCGTATTCTTCTATGCCTTCGCTCGGTCTTGTTCAAAGTCTTAGACAACTTGCAGTTCAGAAGGGCGTCTGAAAATGAACTAGGAGCGAGAAAATATGGGCATTCTTTTCTCTTTACGGCGTGTTTGTTTCTTTTTTGCTACATTATGAATTTAAACAGATTGATTGCAAAGTTTGGTCAGTCCCGGCCGGGACTTTGGGTTACGAGGATTAAAATTTCTCGGTTGGTGTAAAGTGGGGGAATCGGGCACAAAAGTTGGGCGGCCTAGATGTATTTGTGGAGAGATTTGAGCGACAAAGACCTTCCACGGTTGGCTATTTAGCTGTGTTTGCGTCGCTAAACTCCGTTTTTTAATGACTTGTAAAAAAGTACGAGGCAGATAAGGTTTGGGTAAGGGCTAGGAGGCAAGTCGGCATGTGGCGCCAGGTACTACTGTTATGTAGATGTGCGCTTGTTTTTCCTAACAATTAGAGACAAAAAAACTTCGCTCTTATCCTTACTGGCGCGGATAGGATCGGTATAATTGCCACTGTTGCTTTTAATTTTCCTATTTTATGGTTTTATTTTCAAGGTTTCTTGCGATAAAGGTATAGATTTTGCAGACGGGGCGGTTTAGAAAGACGCCTTTTATGCAAAGACGATCTTTTTGCAAGACGCCGACTTTCTTAATTCTCCCCTCTCCGTATTGTGGATTTAAAATGTAGCAAACTTGTCGCGACAAGTCGGTACGTTGTTGCCAAATGTGTAACAACTAGTAGTATGTATGTAGCGAGTCACGGAGTTATTTTTTGCAACAAGTCGCCACTAGGTTTGTTTTACGTGAGGAATGCCCGGTTTGGGGTGCCTAAAGTTTTGTTTGCGCGGCCGGGCTTCGCGAAAGTGCTAATTGGTGGCGTGGACAGCTCAGCATACAAAAAACTTCAAACAACCACCAAGCCACGTCTCCGGACTTCACACAGAAATTATCTTTTCCCACCTAAATGAAAAATATCACACCAAGCCGCGATTTAGATTTCCAGTGTGGTGCTAAAAAACAGGGCTTATATCCGATTTTAATAATACAAACCCACTATAATTTAAACCATTCCCATGCATGTTATAAAATAGATGATAAATACATTAATTCTCTTAGCACTTGCTTCTAAAGATGCTTTATAATTGGAGAGTAACAAATATGCAAAAAAGGTACACTTTAGGGAATTCTTAAACAGCTACGTTTTATTGTTTTAATTGCTGCTTGCATTTTTGCACATCCGTGCTAGTAGGATTGTAGGCAGTTCACATTCTGTTTAGATTAATTTCGGACGTGGAATTGTCCTGATTGGAAGTATGGAAATGAGGGAAAAAGTCGTTGTGATGAAGACTAGTCCCTTGTGCGACGTTTTCGTGTGGGTTTGTTCGATCCCGGTGCCAGATAGACAGGAGAAATTCCCACCTGTGCGACATCGCTGTGGGTGATAAATTTTTGATGAAGATGCCGTCACAGAGAAGCATTCGGGAAGATGACAAGAGCACAAAGGCATGCGGGGTGGTAGCAAGCGTTACAGCCGACGTTTTTGGCAGGGAAGAATTACCCGTAGCTCAAACGATTAAGACTTCAACTTTCTGCTCACAAAGAAAGTACCTTCTAATGTCGTGATCTAATATTCATTTGAAGATAGTCGTAGCCCAGATATGTCATTTTACAAAGTCATGTAGGGTGGAAGTGAGCTTTACTGGACATTTTGGCAGCAAAGAATTATGCATAGCTTAAACGATAAAGATTTCAACTCTCTGCATACAAAGAAAGTACCTTCTAATGTCGTGATCTAAAATTCATTTGAAGATAGTCGTAGCCCAGATATGTCATTTTACAAAGCCATGCAGGGTGGAAGTGAGCATTTCTAGACATTTTGGCAGGGAAGAATTATGCGTAGCTTAAACGATTAAGATTTCAACTTTCTGCTCACAAAGTAGATTCTAAATGTGATCTAGAATTCATTTGAAGATATCTGTACCCCAGATATGTCATTTTAGACTTCTCTGTCTTGATATAGCCTGTATGCTTTTAATCTCCAATAAGCCCCAATAGTTGTGACTGGCATTTGAATGCTATCAGGACCCGGTGTATCATTTTCAGCGCTGTTTCTAAATTCAAAACATCCGTTAACGCCAGCGTATCTATCTGGGTATACTTTGGCCCGGACCTCCCACTGAAAATTGTGAAATGTAATCTGCGATAGACGGACCTTACGCTTGTACGGACACCTTACGCTTGCTTGACCTCTGGCTCCCGTATCTTGGTGCGAACAGGAGGCTGATTTTATGATGGCCGACGTTACGTGCTTGCTAAATTAGGCCCCCGGACGAAATTATATGGTAATTTTTCCGCTCGCATTACACGTTTTTTTTATACAGCCTTTGAAAATGCCACCAGGAAGGGGTTTAGTAGCTTTACTGTTAAGCACTCACTTAGTGTAGGAGAGTGAGTTTTATCGCGATTTGCTACTCGTGGTTAGTTGCCCGCGCTTCCAATCGAACTAGCCATCCGCATTTTCCAGTCCTTATCGCAACACGGTACCAAGGACAAAAATGAATTTCTGGCCGGTCGGCCTATTTGGGGAGCACTCTGCCCATTTTAGGTCTTCTTTATCATATTTATAGGGCTGTATTGGGGCCATAGCTCATTATACACATGGCTTCAATATTGATTTTGTTGCTAGTGTAGCGGAGATCAAGATAGGGGGAAATGCCACACGTGTAGCGAGTCGTTTTTAAAGACGACATAACATCATAGGTCTAGGAAACAACTTGGAATGCAAAGGATACTAAAGGGCTATGTAATACAATTTTTTTGGAAGGTATAAATAATATTTATTTGTGCTTCACTAAAATTGTCATGGGGTATAATTTTTAGTTTCATATTTTTCAATTTCTGTTGAAAATTTGTAACCATCTACGATTCTTCAGTGCTTTATGAAGCCAGCAAGTGTCTGCCAAGCTGAGATTTCGCTACCAAAGGCCTGGCAGATGTCGGGGTATGCTCATATCTATTTGATATGACTCAAATGAAAAAGCATAGATCACTGTCAAAATCCCTGCAAACGCTCATGCTTGGTTAACTCACCATGCCTTGTGTGTAGTCCTCATGCACAAAATAGATCTAACAGATTGAATTCAGAATTTTGCAGCCAAAAATACTGATTTTTTTATATACATTTTTTGAAATAATTTTTTGAGAACAGGTTGGTAATTTATGGAAATTTGTTCAGCAGCAAGAGTGGTTGGTTATTTGCACTGTAGATTGCTCATGCACAAAACAATCATCTACTAGATGGATGAAGCCAAAAAATTGAAAAATACTGATTTTTTTGGTACATCTTTGAGACAGAATTTATTGAGAACAGGCTATATACTATATAGTGATGGAAATTTGTTCAGCAGCAAGATCTAGTGGTTGGTTATTTGCACTGTACAAAATATATCAACTAGATTTATAAAGCCAAAAATACTGATTTTTTTTCTCATACATCTTTGGGAGTGAATTTTTCTGAGAACAGGCTATATAGTAATGAAAATTTGTTCAGCAAAAGTGTTCGGTTATTTACACAGGAGGTTAGGTGTTTATTTTGAAGGGAGGGAGGTAGGGTAGGGGTTGAGAATGGATGTTGAGTTATTCCCCAGGAGAAAAGGGACTAGAGCTGGATACTGACACCCATATTATACCAGACTGATCACGGGACGGTCCTCTGGGAAAGACTGATTCAAATGTCGGGACAGGTTGTCATCTGGTGGAATTAGGAAATAGCGGAAGAAAAATGTCGCTGGAATGGTGGGATGGTTGGATGGAGATGTGATATTACGTGGGACGGTTATGTGATGTTTTGTGCCGTTGTTGGTTTTGATGGTTGATCATTTTTCTTCATCTTTCACCTTCATGGATGAGTTGATTTGGATTTAAATTGGCAGAATATGAAGAGAGTGTTGCAAGCTGGTAAAAAAAATGTAAACGAATTGATAGGATACTAGTATTACGTGGGACAGTTATACAGGTTTTGTCTGTTGTTGATTTTGATGGTTGATCATTTTTCTTCATCTTTCATTTTTATGGATGATTTGGTTTGGCTGAATATGAAGAGAGAGTATTGCAAGTTGGTAAAAAAAAACGTAAACGAATTGATAGGAT